TTCAAACCAAACCAAACCAAGCACTGCAGCACTTTGTAGTCCTAACACCTTCCACTAAAAATATTTTGTCTGGCCGTTGTGATCTGGATGGCAGCATGGCCCAGTGGCACTGTACTGGGACTTGGGATACGTGGGTTCTATACTCAGCTCTGCTGCGTGTGGTCTTGGGCAACTTCCTTCCCCTCTGTGCTTCTGTTTCCCTTCCCACCCTTTGTCTATATCAGTGGTCTCCAACCTTTTTACGTACAAAGATCACTTTTTGAATTTAAGTGAACCCCAGGATCTACCGTGCCCTGCTCACTCCACCCTCCCCATCGCTCGCTCTACACCACCCTCACTCACTTTCACCAGGCTGGGGCAGGGGGTTGGGGTTCGGGAGGGGGTTCTGGCTCTGGGCTGAGCCTGGGGCTGAGAGGTTTGGAGTATGGGAGGGGGCTCTGGGCTGAGCCTGGGGCAGGGGTTAGGGTGCAGGAGGGTATGCAAGCTCTGGGAGGGAGTTTGGATGCAGGAGGAGGCTCTGGCTGGGGAAGAGTGTTGGGGGGCAGGAGGGGATATGGAGTGCTGGCTCTGGGAGAGGGGTCATGGCTGGGGCAGAGGGTGCAGGAGGGGGTAAGGGGTGCTGGCTCTGGGAGAGGGCTCCTGCTGGGCTACACCTGAGACAGGGCTAAGGCAGGCTCACTGCCTCCCCCAGCCCCATGCTGCTCCCAGAAGGGGCCCCTGGGGGGGGGGGGTACATGGCTCCGCACACTGCCCCTCTTTGCAGGCACTGCTCCCGCAGCTACCATTGGCCACAGTTCCCCATTCCCGACCAATGGGAGCTGCGGGGGCGGTGCTGGCAGGCAGGAGCAGCATGCAGAGACCCCTGCTCCCCCTCATCTCCCAGGACTGCGAGGGTGTGCTGGCTGCTTCCGGGAGTGGCGTTGAGCTGGGGCACGCAGGGAGCCTACCTTAGTGGCAGCCCTGCTACAGCCAGAAATCGCGATAGACTGGGAGAGTCTCCAGGATCGACAGGTTGGTGACCACTGCTCTATATAGACTGTAAACTCTTGGGGGTAGGACTGTCTCTTACTGTATAGATACAGTGCCTAAGACAATGGGTGCTGATCTAGTTTGGGGACCTGTAGGCTCTACTCTAATAATGTTAACCTTCCATCACCTAGAGGGCCTAACTCAGCTTGGGGGCACCATTGAGCAGGGTGCCATTGACACATGGTGAAAGACAATCCCTGCCTTAAGGAGCTTACAATCCAGGGCCTGATCCAGGCAAGACTGTTGCAAATGCTTAACTTTATGCACTGTCAGCATTCCAAATCCATGGGATTTACTTGCAGTGTGTAAAGTTAATGTACATAAGTCTTTGCAAGGTTGGGGCCTAAATAGAAAAGACAGATACAAAGTGGGAGAAGGAGGGGATTATTTCCCCCATTTTACATGTGCAGAGAGATTAGTCACACATGGAGTCTGTAGCAGAGCTAGGAATTAAACCCAAGTTTCTTGAGATGAGCTAGTTGGGTATTTTGCATTGAAACAGCATTTGTCAGAAAATGCTAAACAGCCAAAACAGAAACCTTTTGTGGGAATGTATCTGCTTCAACTAAACTTTCATTGAAAGAGGTTTCTCCAGTCCAGGGTGAAAATGTGACCGAACTCAGAATAATCAATAGCCCTGTCTAAGTGAGGCAGAGCAGGGACCTGAAGCTGGGTCCCCCTTATCCCTGCTCACTACTGAGCTATTGACTGTTCTGGAACGGGGGGTGTCTGTCTTGTGCTCTTGCTCTCTTGGGCTGGTTTTTACAAAAATGCCTTGGTTTTGTCCCAGTACAGAACGGGAAACATTTTTTAAATGTTCATGAACCAGGAAAACAGTTTCCTTCCCCATTCAATTTCAGACCTAATGTAGTGCCACCAGCCCATTCTTTCTCGACAGGGAAACATGCTGCCTCTTTTTTTAATGATGTTTTCCCTATAATAATGTTATATACAACTGGCTGGAGTCAGATGATCAGATTCTTCTCCTATGAATGCAGGTGTAAATCTGGAGCGAGGTTCCATTTAACTCAAGGGAATTAGCCTGCTTTTACCCAGCTCCGGGTGAGATCAGAATATAACCCTCATGATTTTAAATAACCATTCACTACTTTAAATTAGGGCACAAATCAAATGATGGCAGCGTGCTGTATTGGGATGAGTTCCAGTCATCTACTGGAGCCGTGGCGATACGTTACAGGGAATTCCGAGAAAAGCAACAAAAGATGATTAAAGACCTAAGATTTTCTTAATGCTATAATAGTGTTGAGCAGGGGAGGATTGCAGGAGAGGATGCCCTGCTCTAGCACAATGGGGCCTTGATTACAGTCAGGGCCTCTTGGTGCAACCATATCTTAAAACAAAAACCACTATTGTAAAGCAACTTTGTTTTCCTTTTTATTTTTTCAACCAAATAAATATGAAGAACATTGACATAAACACCAGCCCAACTGGACCCTGCATGAGGAAATGTCAGTATATACAGTCCTGTGTGATCAGGGTTTTGCAGCTTTGCCAATTCTCATGCTCAATGGAGTTTTCTTTCAGCTCACAGCCCCTGAAGTTATGATTACGTGAGACACTGTTTACATATATTTTAAAAAAGTTTCTAGTGAAAAGCTTGAAAATGTGACCTCTAAAGGCTCAGAAACCAGAAGCAAAATATGAATCTTTCCCTCCTCGCTCCCCCCAAGTTTACTATTTGGCTTAAAATCATGAGATTTTTTTTTTTAAATCTTGTGATTTTGGAGCTTGACTTGTGATTTTTGCATGCTTGGGGTTTGTAACTCTCATAAACATGTTTTGGTCAATGATTTATTCATATTAAACATTCAAGAGTCACAGGCTAAAGAAAGGTTGGAATCATGGCACAAAGAGGAAGTGGATTGGAGGACTGCCCCTGACTTCCCACTGGGATATCTTTTCTCCGCTGCTGGGACATCTTCAGGAAATAGCACTTAGATTGATATATCTTTTCTCCGCGGCCTGCCGGCATGTTGCTCCCAGGAGTGTTGATGCAAGTTCGGAATGTGGAGAGTGCTTATGATCATGGTACAGAATAATTCATTCTTCCTACCCGGGGAGCATCTGAGTCCTCCTTGCTTGTCTCTTCCCCCAGGGGAGAATGGATCAGAGGATCTCTGGGGGAGGGACAGGCTGGGTAGCTCAAATATATCCATCCATGAGAGGCATAAAACTGTTGGAGCTATACTGCTGCTTGAAGACTTTGTGGCAAAAGCTGTGTGTGTACAGGATGGAGCAAGGAATAATGGCCTCTGCAGCAGATGGCTAGCTCAGGACTTTGCATGGTAGCCTGGGACTTGGGAGACCCAAGTTCAGTTCTCCACTTTGTTGCATGACTGAGAGCAAGTCACTCTGGCCTAGATTTAGGTGCTTAGCTTGCATTGATTTCAGTGGTAGGTATTTAGGTGCTTAGCTTGCATTGATTTCAGTGGCTAAATATCTTTTGAGACTGGTCCGTATTCTCTCACTGCCTCAGTTCCCCCTTTGTAAAATGGAAAAATGCTTTCCTACTACACAGGGTAAAGAGAAATGTATTAAAATTAGGGCTATCAATTAATCACAGTTAACTCAAAATTAATCTTGATTCAAAAAATTAATTGTGATTAATTGCAGTTTTAATCGCATTGTTAAATGATAGAATACCAATTGAAATTTATTAAATATTTTTGGATATTTTTCTACATTTTCAAATATATTGATTTCAAATAGAACACAGAATACAAAGTGTACACTGCTCACTTTACATTATTATTTTTGATTACAAATATTTGCACTGTAAAAAGATAAACAGAAGAAATAGTATTTTTCAATTCACCTCATACAAGTACTGTAGTGCAATCTCTTTATTGTGAAAGTGCAACTTACAAATATAGATTTTTTTTTGTTACATAGCTGCACTCAAAAACAAAACAACGCAAAGCTTTAGAGGCTACAAGTCCACTCAGTCCTACTTCTCATTCAGCCAATCAACAGGTATTTACGTGCCAGATATGCTAAACATTTGTATGCCCCTTCATGATTTGACCACCATTCCAGAGGATGTGCTTCTATGCTGATGAAGCTCATTAAAAAAATAATGAATCACAAATTTAATTAACGCAACTCCTTGGGGGAGAATTGTACGTTTCCTCTATTTTACCTGCATTCTGCCGTATATTTCATGTTATAGTAGTCTCGGATGATGACTCAGCACATGTTGTTCATTTTAAGAACACTTTCGCTGCAGATTTCAAAGAGCGCAAAGAAGGTACCAAATTGAGATTTCTAAAGATAGCTACAGCACTCGACCTAAGGTTTAAGAATCTGAAGTGCCTTCCAAAATCTGAGAGGGACGAGGGTGGAGCATGCTTTCAGAACTCTTAAAAGAGCAATGCTCTGATGCGAAAACTATAGAACCTGAACTGCCAAAAAAGAAAATCAACCTTATGCTGGTGGCATCTGACTCATGATGAAAATGAACATGCGTCGGCCACTCTGCTTTGGATTGTTATTGAGCAGAACCTGTCATGAGCATGGACACATGTCCTCTGGAATGGGGGTTGAAGCATGAAGGGACATGTGACTCTTTAGCACATCTGGCACATAAATATCTTGCGACACAAGCTACAACAGTGCTATGACAACACCTGTTCTTACTTTCAGGTGACATTTTGAACAAGATGCGGGCAGCATTATCTCCTGCAAATGTAAACAAATTTGTTTGTCTGAGCAATTGGCTGAACAAGAAATAGGACTGAGTGGACTTGTAGGCTCCAAAAATAAAACAATATAAAATTTTAAACGCAGTTTTTTGTATATAATTCTACATGTGTAAGTTCAACTTTCATGATAAAGAGATTGCACTACAGTACATGTATTAGGTGAATTGAAAAATACTATTTCTTTTGTTTTTTACAGTGCAAATATTTGTAATAAAAAATAGTGATCACTGTACACGTTGTATTCTGTGTTGTAAGTGAAATCAATATATTTGAAAATGTAGAAAACATCCAAAAATATTTAAATAAATGGTATTCTATTGTTTAACAGTGCAATTAATCACAAATAATTTTTTTAATTGCTTAACAACCCCAATTAAAATATTGTGAGGTGGCTAGATATTATGGTAATGGGGCCTATATAACCCCGTTAGAGAGATGCTCATCCATGCCCCTCTATACCATTCCAACAGGGAAGAATTTCTCTACACTAATCCTTGTGAGCAGGCCAGGGACAGAGTGAGTTATTAATAGTATCCTGTGTCCATATGGTTGAATGGGACACTTTAAGACCCTGATGGGAAGAATGGAGGTGCAACTATGCTTGCTGTCTTTCCCCACTCCAGATGTCATCTTTCCTCATGTCACCTTCAGTTTTCATCTCTCTTAGTTCAGTGTAATGATACTCTGCACCTCCCTGGCACCAGATTACAAAGTGTTTTCTAAAACTCAACCAATGAAGCTTTACCACCCATGATTGCCCAAGGTCACAAGCTCTGAGAATGGAACTCCAGAGCCCAGACACCCCCACCTTTAATCACTAGACACCACTCCCCTCCCAGAGCTGGAAATAGAATCCAGGAGTCCTGGCTCCCAGTGCCACCCTATTCTACCCCATTAGCCCTCCCTGCCCCCCAGATCTGATTCCTAGTCTCTGACTCTGAGCTGGGAAATAGAAGAACTCAAGAGTCCTGTCTACCATTCTCCTCTGCCCTAATCACTAGACACCACTGACCTCCCAGAACTGGAGCTGGAATGCCAGAGTCTTCCCCCGGTCCTTGCTTTTAAGCACTAGATGCCCTCTCTCCTCCCAGCCCAGTCTCTGACTCTAACCACTAGACACACTCATGAAGAGCCAGGAGTCCTGACTCCCATTTTCCTGGTCTAAGCAGTAGGATGGCTAGACTGCACTTGTCTCTGTGGCTGAATGGGTGGAAGGTCAAGTGTCCTCTTAGTCAAAGCATAAAGACTGGAAAGAGCTGAAAATCCCAAGAGGTCATGTCACAACCATGAATCACTGGTTTCAAGGGCCCTGTGGCTTAGATTTTAAACCAGGTTTTAAATCAGTTTATCTCAACCCCAGAGCACTACATGAGCCAGCTTTGTCCATTTGTTTTCCTTTTGATACATCCACATTCATCAAGGTTTCAAGGAAAGTCACTATCTGACAATGAGTTCAAGATTACAATAATAAACGGTGGCATGGTGTTCCAGCACCTGCCAGCTGTATCCTCACCCAGACCCCAAAGGCTGGGTTCATGATCGTCTCGGAGGAATTCCCCTTCTGGCATCACAGCCAGGTCCCATTCTTCCGCTGCAGTGCAGTTTGCCTGACATTCTTCATCCCAGCCCAGGATTTAATCTAGGGGAAAAAGGCAAGGAACAGCAAATTGAGACACTCGTAATACATTTGCTTGTTATATCTTGATAAGAGTGCTGGCACCTTGGCTTCCAGCGGCAACACAGCCCTCCCTGAGCTGGGAATAGAATTCAAGAGTCCTGGCCCCTAGTACTGACTGTTGTAACCACTAGATCCCACTCTCTTCCCAGAGCTGGGAATAGAACCCACAAGTCTTTGACTCCCACTTTCCTCCTGCTCTAACCCACCAGATCCCACTCCTAGAGCTGGCATAGAGCCCTTTTAGGAAAGATTTGGTCTAGTGTATTAATTGTTTTCACATGAGTTCCCAGGGCCAAATTCCACTCAGCAGTGTCCAGGATCTGCATTGTCCCACCCACCATCCATGCTACTTCCACCAAGTCCATTCATCCTTCAGCAGGAGGCAGTGGAGTCCCCACTCTTATATTCATAGATTATGAGGCCAGAAGGGACCACTGTGATCATCTAATCTGACCGGCTGTATAACACAGGCCATAGGACTTCCCTGAATAATAATTCCTGTTTGAACTAGAACAGATGTTTTAGAAAACTGTCCAATCTTGATTTTAAAATTGCCATCAATGGAAAATCCACCACAGCCTTTGGTAAATTGTTCCAATGGTTAATTCCCCTCACTGTTAAAAACAGGCACTTTATTTCTTGTCTGAATTCATTGGTTCTTGTTAGACCTTTGCTAGTTCAATGAGCCCTCCATTATCAAATTTCTCTTCCCCATGTAGAGAGACAAGGTGGGGGAGGTAATATCTTTTATTGGACCAACTTCTGTTGGTGAGAGATACAAGCTTTCAAGCTTACACAGAGCTCTTCTTCCCCAGGTAGATACTTATAGACCCCTTAACCTTCTCTTAGATAAGCTAAATAGACTGAGTTCCCTGAATCTTCCACTATAAAGCATGTTTTTAACTAGGATCCTAATTGTCTGCTAGACTGAAGAGCCCTCTATTCTCAAATTTCTGTTCCCCTGGTAGGCACTTAAACTGATGAAGTTTACTGCAAGGTGCATGCATGTTTGCAAGAGCGGAATTGTCCCCCTCCATGCTCTTTAACAGTGCTGGCCTTAGCCACAACTGATGACGCAGGGATACCCTACAGCAGTGGTCCCCAAACTTTTCAGGCTTATGCCTCCCCCTTACTTCTGTGCACGCCCCCCCCTCCTGGGGCTGGGAGTGGGGCTGCAGCTGGGGGTGAGGAGGGCAGGGCGGGAAGCAGACCAGGGTGAGAGAGCCAAGGCTGGGGCCGCAGCTGGGCATGGGGATGGGAGTGGGGCTGGGAATGGAGCTGCATCCAGGCCAGTCGGGGGCTGAGACTGGGGGTGTCTTGGGGCCGGGAGCCAGGCCTGCAGCTGGGGGCAGGGCCGGAGCAGAGCAAGGCTGGGTGGCGCTCCCTCCCCACCTCCTGTGGGGATTGCCCCCCCCATCATTTTTCCGTATCCCCCTGGGGGGCACACCCCACAGTTTGAGAATCTCCACCATACAGTCTCAACAATTCATGGTCTGATTCACCCTCCACTTCCCACCTTAGAAGCTAATTTCCATTCTCTCCGCTCTCCCCCTCCCCCACCACCGCTTCATTTGGCTCCCAACACTGGCCGTGCCTGGCTCACCATTCTGGAATTCACCCCACGCCTGCTCAGTGTGCTGGAGCCCTGTGGAAGGCCACCACGTGCTTGGGCATCTTCCCCCACCTCCTCTTGTCCCAGCGGCACAGCAGCAGCATCTTAAACGTATTGCGAAAAGACTTATTGCACAGGGCATAGCACATGGGATTGACAGTGCTGTTGACATAGCAAAGCCAGTATCCCAGCTTCCAGAGGCTGTTAGGAACGCAGTCCTGGCAGAAGGTGGACACCAGCACCATGATGTTATAGGGTGTCCAGGTGAGGATGAAGGCCAGCAGGATGGCGCTCAGTGTTCGGGCTGCTTTCTTCTCCTTGATCAGGGAGAGGGTCTTCCGCTGGGAGAGCTGTTTGCTCCTATTCCGCAGATGGCTTTTGCCAGTCAATGCCCCCTTCTCCTTCAATGGTGATATCTTTTTGTTTGATGGCTTCTTGGCCATGTTGGGGGACTCGGTGGCAGCAGGAGACTGCGCTAGGATCCTGCACAAGCCATTCCTTCCTGCCCATGGCCCTCCAGCCAGCTTCTCCCGGTCCCGGGTTGGCTTCTGTGTTGGCAATGGTGGCTGTGCTACACTGCCAATCATAGGCAGCCGGATCACCACCGAGCAGACACTCTGAACCTCAAAGGGCTGCTCCTCTCCCTCAGACGATGTCAAGGAATCAGGGGAGCCATCCTCCTCTTCCTCCTCCTCTGTATTGATCCAGCTCCCATTGCTGCTCTGCTCCACATATAGCTTGGCCTTCCTCGAACTGGGGAAGCAGCAGGCCTGCGTGTGGGCTTTTGCCACAGCAGAAGAAACCTTGATGGGTTGCAACCGCTCGGAGCTGCTGTTGCTGCCTACGCCACCTCCTTTAGGCCCGTTGTTGGGGGTTGGCCTGACAATGCTCTTGCTTTCTGAGCCTTGCAGGCAAGCCAGTTCCCTGGCCCTGTTCTCAGTCTCCCGGTAGATCCTCCAGTAGAGAATGATCATGATGGTGACCGGCAGGTAGAAGGCTGCAATGGCCGTGCCAAAAGTAATGATAGGCTGAGAGAGGAACTGGAGATGGCAGTTTCCTGAGGGCACTGTCCGCTCCCCAACAAAGTACTGCCAGAACAAGATGGCGGGTGCCCAAAGGATGAAGGAGATGGCCCAAGCTAGGCCGATCATGATGGCCGCCCTCTTGGGCGTTCTCTTGGCCCGGTAGGTCAAGGGCCGTGTGACAGAGAAGTAGCGGTCAAAGCTGATGATAAGGAGGTTCATGACTGAAGCATTGCTGGCTACATAGTCAAGGGCCAGCCAGAGGTCGCAGGCCACGTTACCGAGGGCCCAATGGCCCATGATGATGTAGGTGGTGTAGAGGTTCATAGACACTGCCCCAATGATGAGGTCAGCACAGGCCAGGCTGAGTAGGAAGTAGTTGTTGACTGTCTTCAATTCGCTGTTGACTTTGAAGGAGACCATCACAAGCAGGTTGCCCACCACTGTGACCAGTGAGAGGATCCCAGTCATCAGCACAATCAACACCACCTGCCACAAAGAATGACCCCCATACAGGGTAGGTCCGGGGCCTCCCTGGGAGCCATTGAGGCCTGGTGGGACGTTAGAAAGGTTCATGGTGCTGGGGTGGGGTCTCACCTCTCCCAGAATAGCGTACTGGGATGACATTGGGATCCCACCACTCCAATTCAAAGCCCCTTGGCTGGAGGAAGAAAGGTGACTAGGGGTCTTCAGTCTGAGGAGGCCTCCTGGAATGAGGAAAGAGACTTGACTGAGCTGGGAGAAGGGCCAGATTTAGAGCTGGATGAAATTTTTCAGATATTTTTTTCCTTGAAAAATGCAGATTTGGCAACACTGAGATGTTTTGTGAATTCATGTTGGTTTTGCTGAATTTTCATTTCATAAAACCCTCAGCCCCCACCCCTCCAATCATAATGTTACATTTTGTAAATTAAACATTTCAATTTTTTGGTTTGAAACAATTTTTATTCAAAAATTTCCTTCAATTATTTAAAAAAAAATCAAAAATTTTAATGATTCAAATTGAAACAAAACATTGACCCAAAATATTTTTTTTAAAGTTTTTGGTTTGCCAAAAATGTTGAAAAGATTTCAGTTTTAGTTCAACTTGACATGAAATTCCCCCCACCCAAGTGCTGGGTAGCGAGGGCACTGAGGTGGGAGATCTGGGTTCATTCCTGGCTTGGTTGTTCTATGATCTTGGGTAAGTCACATTCTGTGCAGAAAAGCAGTTTTTTTTAAATGGATAGGGCACTGGGTTGGGGCTTGGGACACCTGGGTTCATTCCTGACTCTGCTATTAATCTTGGTTTAGTCATTTCCCCTTCCCGTGCCTGTTTCACTTCTCACCTTTGTCTATTTAGATAGTGAGCTCTTTGGAGCAGAGACCATCTCTTACTTTGTGTCTGTGCAGCGCTTGGCATGATGGGGGCCCTGATCTCGGTCGGGGTCTAGGCAGTGCCCTACACACTACCATACAAATGATAAGAAGAGGGAGCCAATGGGAAGGTTGGATCTCGGGGACCCTGGAGCCCATTGCCTGGAGTGGCAAAGGAGATCACAGGATACTCACCTTGCTATCAAGATTGTTTCTTTGAAACTTCATGTCCCTTCTCCAGTCCAATGATGTTGCCATGGTAGTGGGGCACTGACACATCTAAGACGTCACATTTTGGAGGCCACCTGTATCAATGAAAAGTAGTTACTTTTTCACGTCTCTCCGACACTGCTAGGTAACCCTCAAATAGCTACATTTAGACCATGACCCTGTTTTCACCCAAGACAATATCACAACTACTGTTTATTTCAATGATGCAGGTTTGGGTCCTTAACCCTATAGGGGCCCTAGTGTACAGCTGTTCTATCTCTAGTAAAAGGGACAGGTTCAATTTTTGCTCCAAGCAAACTTTGACAGGAGCTTAGTGTAGTGGAGCTCCACAGAGGGTAGGGGGAGGAATCTACCCTAACCTACCAGTGTGCAACCTCATGCAACAATCTCTGTCCTTGTTGCATCCAACCTTTGTCTTTCGTGGTCCAGTCCATATAGTTGCAGCTCCACATCCTCCGAGCTAGGTGATCTGTTGGCTTGTTGCATACAATTCCAAGCTGCCTCCACCTAACTGCAATTAACAAGGCTATTAGGAGGTACTTTTGCCTCATTGCAGTTGACAAGGATGTAGCTAGGTGCTTTCCCAGCGGCACAGAAGGAGCCCCCAGAAAAGTTGGCAGCAGTAGAATTTGAACGATAGCAAATCAAGCTCTCCTGCTACACTGGTAGGAGAAAATGCCTGTTTCCCTGATCACTAGCATCTAGAACTGTCAAGAGCTCAGGAAAAATACAGTCCAAAAGTTTTGAAATTGACTAATGATTTTGAATGCATTGTTTTTTCAATGTGTGTAACAGGGAGGTCTACCCCTTTATAAGCCAGGGGGGTTGGGATCATCCACCTCTGTTCTAAGGCAGAGTGCCTTTAAGAACTGGTGTTTGGGTTGATCAGACCCAGCTGGAAAGGTGTCAGATGATTATAAAAGCCAGCAAATGACGCAGGTGTGGCGAGAGCTGGCAGAAGCAGAGAGAATCTGGCAGCAAACTGCTGGGTCAAGATGGGGGGAGGGGAAGAGCGATAGGGAGCAGGGTTACTCTCAGGTAAGTGGCTGGTAGAGTAGGAACTTGTGAGGTATAGGCCTTTGCAGAAAACCCTGGCTCAGGGGAAAAGAGGTGGTTTCTATGCTGAACTGCTTTATTTTGGGGTTTGCTAAAGGTCACTGCAATTAATAAATGGTGGCTTGATGAAAGGCCCTGAACAGATCCTAGGCATGGCATTAATCCTGGGCTGGAGAGACAGGCCAGCCACCTACAAGGTACAGTTTGAGACACCTTCAGAGCATCAGCTACCTGCCCTTTGAAAATCAGGCCCATTTAAGGTATCTGAAGTTGGACTGGACAGTCCCGTTTCCCCCCATGCCCCCAAATGGCACGTGAAATCAACTGGCACTTTTAAAAACCATCTTGGCCAAAATACCAGAAGGAAGAGAGTAACATGAACTGTTAATGGCTGGCCAACTAAGATTCCGGTCTGGAATAAAACAAAAATCCTTGGGAAGAATCTGCCTTAACATGGTCCGGCTTTTGAAGGACACAAGTGAAATATACTTAGACCCTTTTGCCACTGCTCCTCTTTGTTGTTATATGTGCTATGGTAGCAACTGGGAGCTCCCACCAAAATCAGGGCCCAGTACAGCCACATAGCAAGAGTGCTTGCATTCTGGACAGACAAAGGGTTATTAACTCTGTTATACAGAGGGGGAAACTGAGGCACGCAGCACTGACTTGCCCTAGGTCACACAATGAGTCTGAAGCACAGCTGGCAATTGAACCCAGACCCACTGAATCACAGTCCAGAGTTTACCACCACAAATCCCTCCACCCAGTGCCCATTGTTTCTCTAAGGTCTGCCAGTGGCTCAGAGTTTATTGCATAGTAGCAGCAGCAGGAGCAAAATATACTCACCGGAGCTGATCTGTGAAGAAGTTCAGCTTCTGTGTGAATAATGCCCAATTCAGGCTGGGAGATGGGACCAATGCATATATGCATGTGTACATGCACACGGAGGTGGAGTTGTGCAAACAGGGGGAAATGCAAATATTCTCATGGGGAGACACACCCCTCCATGCAACTAAACACCAGATGCCTGGAAATAACCGATGAATTCTTGGCACGTTTAATAACCGGGATTCCTAAGAAAGAGAGAAACCTGTTTCTTGTCCTTGTTTCTGATTCCGAGTGTCGGTTAACAGAGACAGCTGTGGAATAAGGAAGGAGGCACGATAGTGAATAGGTTCTCAGCTTTGCAAAGGAAACCACAGCCCAGTCTTAGGAAGGAATTAAAGCGAAGCTCATGTAACCCTTGAAAAGTCTGTTTGGCCAGGGGTGCAATAGTAGACTTACAAATGGCTATATATGGCATACAGCACTTGGGAAAGACAAAGAACCACACCAACAGGGCACTGAGTTGGGACTTAGGAGACCCAGGTTCAATTGCCAGCTCTGCCACTGGGCTGCTGCGTGACCTTGGACAAGTCACTTCCCTACTCCGTGCCTCAGTTTCCCCATCTATAAAATGCAGATAATGATATTGACCTCATTTGTAAAATGCTTTAAGATCTATGGACGGAACGTGCTATGGAAGAACTAGATATCATTTTTATTAACGTGTTGTATCCCAGGGCTGGCTGAAAAATACTAATTTTTCACCAGAAATTTAAAAAAAATCACTTTTCCCCTTCAAAAGTTTGCAGAAAGTTATTTTCGTCTTTCCCCAATTAAATATTGGAAACCAAATGTTTTTGGTCTTCCTTACAAAATTTTCATTTGTAGAAAACTAACATTTTAATGAAAACGTTTCTATTCTCATTTTGTTTTGTTGTTGTTAGGGGGCGGAAGACAGGATAATTTTGATCAAACTAAAAATGAGAAAATCTGTTTTTTATTTAAAAAGTAATTTTTGGTTGGGGGAAAAAGGTTGTTGACTTCCTCTATTTCACACACTTCCAGGAATAGAAAGAGAACCAGACCTCCCAATACAAAAAATAACTCAAATATTTTTCTATTTTGTTTGCAGTGTTGTAGCCATATTGGTCTCAGGATATGAAAGACAGGTGGGTGATGAGTGAGATAATTTCTTTTATTGAACCAACATGTGTTGGTGAAAGAGACAAGCTTTCGAGCTTTCAGGTGAAGAAGAGCTCTGTGAAGCTCGAAAGCTCGTCTCTTCACCAACAAAAGTTGGTCCAATAATAGATATTACCTCATCCATGTTGTCTCTCCAACATTTTTCTAGTCTTATTTAGTGTATCTAAGTTTAATAATAATGAATCTAGCTAAATTCTCATTGTTATCTAATCTAGTTTTATTTGTTTTATCTAATTTTATAATCCTCAATTTAAAAAAACCCTAATTTTATTTTAACCTAATCTTATTTTTGAAAATTGGACGGCATCCCTCTCCACATAATATTTACTGTATCACAGCAGCTCCTACTAGCCCCACCTGATCAGGACCCTGTTGTGCTAGTTGTTGCTCGGGCACCCAGCGAGAGAGAGTCCCTGCACCAAAGGGCTTATAATTACACAGAGGAAGGTTGGGAGGGAAAACAGAGACACAGGGAGGGTAAGGGACTTGCTGAGGGTCATACGGCTGGTCAGTGAAAGAGCCGGGCATAGAACCCAGGTCTAGTGAAACCTAGCCCGGCCTAGCGCTAGCTGCTGGGCCATTGCTAAGTATTCTAATGAACGACCTGTGTGCAGTATAAATGGATGGAATCAGAGCAGTGTAACTATGTGTGTGTGTAATTTTATTATCTGTACCGGGATAGTGCCCAGGAGCCCTGGTCATGGACCAGGGCCCTATTGCTTTAGGTGCTATACAAACACAGGACAAAGAGATGAAAGCTCCCTGCCTCAAAGAGCTTCCAGTCCACATAAATCTACTGTGATGATTAACGTTGTCTTATGCCCTATACTGCTGCTGGTTTATGGAGTGGCTTAGCTCAAGGGCTCTAGTTTTGGAAAAGAGGTAGAAGGCCATGCTGCTTTTCAAAACAAGTTTAAACAAGCATCTTGGAGGCTGATCTGGTGAAGGTTTTCAGCATCTCCAGCTCCCCCAGTGGCAGCAGGCAGTACTACACCCTGCAGCACTTCAGCCACATGACTCATGTTCCTGGAG